GCTTAGCTTGGGATAGAACCGAGGAGTCCGGGCTCCCTTCCCCGGGGCCATTAGACTCCATTCCCCTCCCAGGGCTGGGGCTGGAACCCAGGAGTCCGGCACTGCACTGAGAGCTGCTCTTTGGGCCTGTGGCCCAGCCAATCAGAACGCAGTCTGTTCCTGGTGGCTCTGGTGTCTGCATCAGCTGGGCTCCCATTGGCTGCTGACAGGCCAGGGACCCCACCTGTGATCGCGGGGCGGAGGCTATGGGCCACCGTTGCCATGGCGCCAGCAGGTGGGGAACGTACCGTAGATGTACATGATGGAGACGCACATGATGCAGGAGATGATGACCAGGGAGAAGCTGGCAGCGTAATTGTCCATCAGCAGGAGCCAGTAGATGCCAGCCTGGGGAGAGCAGGGGCGACGTTAGGAGTGTGATGTCATAGCGCACGGACAGGGGACAGGGCCAGAAACTCCCAGCCTGGCCTGACCCAGGGCCCAGCTCGAGAGACTGGTTAGGAAGATGTGTAAATGAACAGAGCTTTGACATGCAGCCGGCATTGTTAGAGAGAGAAGGGGAGCTGTGTGCTCAGGGCTTGTGATGGCAGCAAACAAGTCTTGGCTATTGCTATGGCGTTGATTCAAAGATCAAAAAAGGAATATTAACAGTTATGATGATACTTGAGGGAAATAGTATTATTGTCTCTTTGACGGTTGGGGTAACCTGTAGCTGAACTGTTTAATGGATAAATGACCCTGTGCTAATTGCCAGGGTGTTTGGAAGAAGGAGAATTAAGCCTATTGTTTTCTCAGGCCAAAAGGCTACTGGAAATGTATAAAAACCCTGGGACACGATCCTGCTTCATCTCAGATCTGCTTTGGGTTGCAAGAGGGGAAAACCTTAAGCCACAAGGACTGAGATCCCCAGTCACTGACTGGAGTCACCATGAATATGGACGTTGGACTATAACCTATGGACTATTTCTAAAAGGACTTTTGGTAACTACAAGCTCACCTCTGCTATGCATCTGACCCTCAAGAATTGAATTCAAGTCTGTCTGTATATTGATCTTTTAAGCAACACTTTAATCTCTTTTCTTAATACATTTTATTTTAGTTAATAAGAATTGGCTCTAAGTGTGTATTTTGGGTCAGATCTAAGTTATCATTGGACCTGGGTATGTGGCTGATCCTTTGGGGTTGGAAGAACCTTTTTGTTTATATGATGAGATAAGATTTTCAGAATTCATTATCATATGTCTAACAGGTGTGTCTGGACGGAGGCCGGACGCTGGGCACGTTAAGGGAGCTGCGTTGTTTGGACTTCTGAGTAACCAGTGAGGTAATACAGGAGCTGTTTTGGGCTGGTTGGTAAATCTAAGTATTGGAAGATCCACCAGCGTTTGGGGATTGTCGGCCCCGTTCTGTTTGCAGTTCACCCTGATTGCGTGACCTCAGCTGGCTCCCACGGGCAGCACCGTCACAGGGGTCAGAGTGAGACAGTCTGGGGACCGCCATCCCCGCTTGGCACCACCATCCCTGCCTGACACTGCTGCCTGGTACCACCACCCAGCACAGCCTTCCCACCTGGCGTGGGCACTGCCCCCTGGCACCACCATCCCCACTCAGCACCACCACTGCAGCGGGCGTACGACGGGGACCAGCCGGTGCCTGCCTGCACACACCGAACCTGGCAGGAGTCGGGCTGGTATCGCCAACACCCGGAGTTCTGTTCGCTGCTTTCCATCAGCCAGGCTCGGCCTGCCCCCTGCTTCGGTTCAGGCCTCACGCCAGGCCCATGTCTCCGGCTCCCTCTCTGCTACACTGCCGGGCAGGGTCCGTAACACTCCCACTCTGGGGTCATGGGTGGGGAGCAGACAGACCGAGGGGGCAGGAAGGAAGGGTGCTGAGGGGACAGTGGAGGCGGGTTGAAGGGGGCCCAGCAAGGCGAGGCCTCTTGCTTCCCCGCTAGGGCAGCCCCGTGCCCGTACCTGGGTGGTGAGCGGGACGCCCGGCAGGGAGCCCCGTGCCCGTACCTGGGTGGTGAGTGGGATGCCCAGCAGGAAGCCCACCACGGCCATGCCCAGCGTCACAAACATCTTCCTGCGGATGATCCAGTCGTTCCCCACCTCGTCCACAATGGCCGTCACCAGTGTCTCCAGCAGGCAGAACTAGGCAGGGA